GACCCGACGCGAACAACAAAGCAAAAGAAAAAATACGTTTTACACCAAAATATACTGCGTCAGTATCTGTAAATAGCCTATTTATTGCTATGTTTTACTTTCAATATTACTTGAAATATTAACCTAAAGATGGGAATCTATGCAAAGTTTAACCAATGGTCTAGACTACGTTTTAAGTATGTGCTTAATACCTGTTTGTAGGTCTGTAGTACATTACTCATCAAGTTGTATAAGCGTGTGTGTGTGTGTGTGTGTGTGTGTGTGTGTGTGTGTGTGTGTGTGTGTGTGTGTGTGTGTGTGTGTGTGTGTGTGTGTGTGTGTGTGTGTGTGTGTGTATGTGTGTGTGTGTGTGTGTGTGTATGTGTGTGTGTGTGTGTGCGTGTTCGTGTGTGCGTGTTCGTGTGTGCGTGTTCGTGTGTGTGTGTGTGTATATGTGTGCGTGTGTGTGTGTATATGTGTGTGTGTGTGTGTGTGTGTGTGTGTGTGTGTGTGTGTGTGTGTGTGTGTGTGTGTGTGTGTGTGTGTGTGTGTGTGTGTGGTGTGTGTGTATGTGTGTGTGTGTGGTGTGTGTGTGCGTGTTCGTGTGTGCGTGTTCGTGTGTGCGTGTTCGTGTGTGTGTGTGTGTATATGTGTGCGTGTGTGTGTGTATATGTGTGTGTGTGTGTGTGTGTGTGTGTGTGTGTGTGTGTGTTGTGTTTCACTAACATGAAAGGGTCGGCCTAGCACCGCTTGCTCTACAAGAAATAAAAAAAGCAAAGGCTGGTAAAATGCCAGTCACCGCATGGCTTCTGATATAAACTTCAGTTGATCATTTTTAAAGATTAAAATTAAGAAGGATTCGCGAGAGAGAAAACAGCTAAATAAATCAAATAATTTATTTCAATAAGCTTCGTCATAGCGTTGTATGTATCAGTAGTAATGAACTCTTCTGATAAAAGTTTTTAAATCCAACACAATTTATCTGTCATTAGAGAGCTGAAAAATTATTGAAACCTCATTGATATCTGATACTATGTACCTTCCAATGACATGAAAAAGCAATACGAAGACATAACACCTGTATACACCTAGTACTGCACTCATCAGATCTCCGATAAGATGGACTGGTTCCAAGAAATAACAATGCTATTTTTTACCTTTTTTTTTCCTCCTCCCCGTGTAACCTACCTGCCCGGTGTCCTCCAGCAAGCACAAACACTGGCTCATAGGTCACACCCTCATTACTCAGCTCTTCCCTCAAATCTGGTCTGCTTTGGGCCTGCTGAAGGGCAGTTTAACAGCACCAAAATACCCCTCACCACATGGGTTTCAATGAACGCAGTTAATAGTAACAAATCCAGTATTAGAGACGGAACAAAGCGGCGACAGGGTGCCTGACAGCGCAGACTGCAGGGGAGGCTCGGCGGGGGGCTCTGCAAGGAAACCACAAACACCGGCACTCAAGAATTGGCTGCAACAGAGGGCCGTCAAGAAAAGTGGGTGGCTTTACAAAATAAGGAGACAGATTTTCTTTTTCTTCCTCTCTCATTCCTCCGTGTGTACTGGCACGCCTCCCGTTCCCCCGTGGCGCCCTTTCAACTATTTTCTCAATGGACTGGTTTGCCAACAGCGCCCAGTGGCGTCTTCCGAAACACAGCTGTCGCGGGAAAACGTAAACTGTTGACTCTGCATTTTGTTTGCTTCTACATTAAGATCAAAATGGGAGAGATTTCGTGCCTCATTCCTTCTAAAATTTTGAATTCCAGGGATCTGAATCTGACCCTCTGCTCAGATTAATAATCGGGCGACTCATAAGGGGCGAGCAAGTGAGATGAATCGTACCAGCAAAGAATTAAAACTGACTCAGCGGTGAGATGTAACTAAGTAGCTCTTAAAGCACCAAGCGCCATTCAAGTGGAGGCCTTCCGCCCCGCAGAGGTTACAGGTCTACTGGTATGGGGCCGACTACACCTAAGTGGTTGTGCTTACACCAAAGCCCGCGCACCAGGCCGGCCAAAGTTAGTCTCATTATTTTGTACAGCCGCGGTGTCAGGGAACAGAACAGCTAACGTTAAATAGCCACACAACTCGGGGACACAACGAGAAGACGGGGAACAGCTGCCATTCAATAATACCATCTGGGCGAGCGGGGCTTCCGGGGTGGCCGCCTCCTCCAGCGCGTCGAGCGGCAGGACCTGCAAGGGAGACCACAAGAGAAGACGTCGTTCAGTCTCGTTCTTTCGGGACACACAGCGAAGGCGTGGACACCGAGGCGGCGCCGTGCTGCCTGCCGCAAGGGGCGAGCTCTACGTACGAGGACCTACCGTGACGATGCCCTGGGGGACTTGGGACCGCGAGATCTACCCCGGGGGGCGATCCTCACACGGGACGACGCCCAACAGCGCCACTCGAAGACACACGGTTCACACAACATGGAAATTCATTCATCGCTTTCGCCATTTCTCTCGTCTCTGACGCCGCCATGACACACGCACATAAAAGACGGATCAATCCATTTCAGGTCTACGTGTCCTGCACACCCGCCTCCCCTCCCGCGATGGTCCAAGTTAAAGTCCAAAAAAAGAAGTGTCTGTGAAGGTGGCATTAGATCGGAGTCAAACCTCACACACATCGGTGTTGATAAACAAACCCAACAAGGAAGAAAAAGACCGATACATAAATATGGCTCACGACACAAACTTGCGAGATAAATATATCGGAATAGGTTATCAATAAACTAGAGTTAGCAGGGGTAGGTGCTTCGGCCTCAGTTTATGATGAAAAGGAGGCCGAGCGAAAGCCGAGGCAGGGTGTGTGCAATCAGGCTGAGTACGTGAGAGATCTCAGGTAGACTGCAAGCAAGCAAGCAAGCACGGCGAGATTGCACATCGATCTAGAGCAGCAACAAAGAGAGAGACACGCACGACGCAGGGACACAGATCATGGCGGTTATTATCACCACCTTTCCAGCAGGCGTCATTGCCTTATTAATGCGCAGTCCTTATACCTAATACATGCATCGGGAGGGAGACTATGAGGAGGGTTAAGGGAGACGTCAAACTGCGCATGATACGAGGAAGAAAAAGCTCCTGCCAAGGCCCGGGGGAGGAACTCGTGCCAAGCGCTGGCCCGCGACTTCGTAAATCCGATCATTTATTTGACTGGCCAAGAAAACAATATAAAAAAGAACTGTATTATCATCTTAAAACCCAGTGTATTTATTGACCGGGCAGACATCATCGAGACTTGCGCACTTCCCAAGAAAGCTTCGGACAATGAGAGCTTTCTTGCAAAGGGACTCGCGGCCGCTCTCGCATGGCATCGCAGACGGTGAACATGGCACGGCAGACCAGGGGAGGGGGAGGGGGAGAGAGAGGGGGGAGAAAAGAGAGAGAGAAGAGAGAAGGAAGAAGTGAGAGAGAGAGACGAGAGAGAAGAGAGAGAGAGAGAAGGGAGAAGTGAGAGAGAGAGAAGGGAGAAGTGAGAGAGAGAGATGGGAGAAGTGAGAGAGAGAGAGAAGGGAGAAGGGAGAAGGGAGAGAGAGAGAGAGAGAGAGAGAGAGAGAGAGAGAGAGAGAGAGAGAGAGAGAGAGAGAGAGAGAGAAGAGAGAGAGAGAGAGAGAGAGAGAGAGAGAGAGAGAGAGGAAGGAGGAGAAGAGAAAGAGAGATAGAGGTGGAAGAAGAGAGGGAGGAAGAGGAGGTGAAGGAGGGAGAGAGATATTAAGAAAACAAGAAAGAAGATGCAGAAGAGCAGACGAAGAAGAGGAATACCCGAAACATACAGATAAAGAGACAGACAAACAGACACACGAAAAAGGAAGAAGAGAAGACACGAAACGAAAAGAGGACACAAGGCAGAGGAGAAAGAGGGGGGGGGGGCACACGAAGGACGGAAGAAGGAAGGAAAACAAAACGCTAACTTCCCCTCCCCCCTCCCCCTCCACCCCCCCCCCCTCTCGCCGCCACAGATCTAAGAAAGCCAATGGGCATCGAACGGAGGGGGGGGGAGGGGGGGAGGGGGGTCATGCGGGAGAGGAGAAGGAAGAAAAGAAAGGAAGGGAAGAAGAGGGATAAGAGAGGGGGAGGAGGAGGAGGAGGAGGAGGAGGAGGAGGAGGAGGAGGAGGAGGAGGAGAGGAGGAGAGGAGAAGGAGAAGGAGAAGGAGAAGGAGAAGGAGAAGGAGAAGGAGAAGGAGAAGGAGAAGGAGAGAAGGAGAAGGAGAAGGAAAGGAAAAGGAGAAGGAGAAGGAGAAGGAGGAGGAGAAGGAGAAGGAGAAGGAGAAGGAGAAGGAGAAGGAGAAGGAGAAGGAGAAGGAGAAGGAGAAGGAGAAGGAGAAGGAGAAGGAGAAGGAGAAGGAGGAGGAGAAGGAGAAGGAGAAGGAGAAGGAGGAGAAGGAGAAGGAGAAGGAGAAGGAGAAGGAGAAGGAGAAGGAGAAGGAGAAGGAAAGGAGAAGGAGAAGGAGAAGGAGAAGAAGGAGAAGAAGGAGAGGAGAAGAAGGAGAAGGAGGAGAAGGAGAAGGAGAAGAAGGAGAAGGAGAAGGAGAAGGAGAAGGGAAAAAGGAAGGAAGAGAGAGGAGGAGGAAGGTAGAGGAAGGTAAGAAAGGAAGAAAGAGGAAGAAAGGGGAGGAGGGGAGAGAAGAGAGGGAGGGGGGAAGTGGAGGAAAGGGGGAGAGGGGGGGAAGAGAGGGAGGAGGAGAGAAGAGAAGAAAAGGAAAAAAAGAGTGGGAGAAGGGGCAGGGAAAGAGGACGGGATAGGTTATGAGGGAAAAGGAGAAGAATGGGGGAAGCATGGAAAAGATGAGAGAACGAGAAAACAGAGAGAAAGAAGAGAAAGGAAGAGGGAGGAGAGAGGGAGGGGAGGGAGAGGAGAGAGACGAGGGAGAGAGGAGAGGAGAGGGAGAGAGGGAGGAGAGAGGGAGGGAGAGGAGAGGGGAGGGAGAGGGAGAGAGGAGAGAGAGATGAGAGAGGATGAGAAGAGAGAGAGAGAGAGATGAGAGAGAGAGAGAGAGAGAGAGAGAGAGAGG